AGGCGCGAATTGTGCCTGCTCTCATCAAACGGCTGGACTATGACCTAGCCCGGGTAAGAGAGCGAGATAGAGTGAGAGAGAGAGAGAGAGAGAGAGAGAGAGAGAGAGAGAGAGAGAGAGAGAGAGAGAGAGAGAGAGAGAGAGAGAGAGAGTTGTGTGTGTGTGTGTGTGTGTGTGTGTGTGTGTGTGTGTGTGTGTGTGTGTGTGTGTGTGTGTGTGTGTGTGTGTGTGTGTGTGTGTATGTGCGTCTCCCGCCAGTGTGGCCGACTCCCCATCGCTAGCGCCCTCTAGCAGGTCCCAGAGTCAGGTCTGGTTCCGCTGTCCATTGTGGCCACACGTGGCGCACCGCCCTACCTGTCCATCTAGCGGCCTCGCCGCCCACGTCGCTGCCGTCGAGGAGCAGCGCGGCGTCGACGGCGCCGGCCGTCTCAAACACCACGAAGGCGGCGCCCTTGAAGCGGTTCGTCTCCCTCCGCCGAAGCATGTCCACGCACGTCACCGGCCCGCACGCCGCAAAGTGGCGCTCAAGCTCGTCTTCGGTGGTCGACTGCGCGAGCCGGCCGACAAAGACGCGGTGCGCTGGTGCGCTGACAGCGGCGGAGGGCGCCGCCTTGCCGCTTGGAGCCACGGAGGCCGCCTCTTGGCGCTTCTGCTCGGCCGCGGCTCTGCGCTTCTCCTTGCGCTTCAGGTCCTTCTTTATCCGATGCTTGGTCCGCTCGTCCGTCGAGGTCGCAGGAGGGTCGGCGGCCGCCGCAGCGTGCTTCTCCTTCTCTCGGTGGCGCTTTCGAGCAGCGGAGACCATCGCCGAATTGACTTCGCCTCGTGCCCAGAGCAAAAGAAGAAGCTCAAAAAAATCTGCCGAATCAGCATGTCACTCGTCGTCTCTCTGCTCCTCGCTCGGCCGGGCGGCGACTCGGGTGGTGCAGAGGCGCCGCCGCTGCGCGTGCGTGCGCACGAGGCGGCGCTGGAGCACGCCTGCCGTCGCCGCCACGGCCCGACGCCCGGGGCCGTACGTCGAGTCGGACAAACATTTGGCGAGAGCCAACCGAGCATCTTCACCGAGCATCATCGGATCGACCCGCTCTCCTGCAACGAGCCGCGGGAGGGAGACTCGTACGATCCGGCTCGAGCGGCGGCGCGTGGCGCGCACATGCCCTGCTCGCCCGCGGCCGCTGAGGCACACCCGGCGAGAGCTACCTTTGCCCCCTCGGCGTCGTTTGCGAGGCTCGCCTCACCGTCGTGCTGCGGGGGCGGCGGTTGGCTTGGGAGGTGCACGTGGCCGCGCGTGGCGCGGCTGGCCCCTGCACTCGCCCTCATATTTTGTGCTGGCTCGCGCACGCGCCGCGAGAACTCGACGACGAGCGACTGCATTGGCGGGCTTCGTTGTCAAAGGCGGCGGCTCTGCGTGGTCAAAGGCGGCGCTTGCCATCAGCCGCCGTGCACAGCTGTCCCAAACTCTTTCATGCTTTGGGTAGGACACAGGCC